ACCCCCGTTACCGGCAGCCTGACCGACCTCCCCCCTGACGAGACGCGCGGCAGGCACCCCTGGGATGATGGACGCGGCGGCTCGACTTCCGCAGATCGGGCGGTCGAGTGACTTCACGTTGAGGCCCCTGTGGGGGCCTCGCCTCTCACGAGAAGCATCGCGCAGGCAGGGCGTCGCGAGCCGATCAACGGACATCGACGCAACAAACAAGCACGTGATAACACGTACGAAGTAATCCATACAAGGATGGCGGGAAAAGGAGGAAAGCGGAAGGGGGGAGGACGGGCGGTTTGAGGGAGGGGAGGGGGGTGAAGGGGAGGGCGAAGAGGGGGCGGGAGAGAACGAGGAGCCTGGGAGGAGCGCGGCGCGGGATCCCCGGCCCCGACACCCCGGGGAACCCCCGGGGGGACTAACACAGAGGGTCCGCCGTCTTCGGGGGTGGTCTGGGGCCCGCCCCGCTCCCGCTCGAGGGTGGGCGCCGCCCACGCCCGAAAAAAACCGCCCCCAACCCCCCGCACCGGCATCCTCCCGGGAGGCCCCCCAAAGCCCTGGGAGTCGCTCGGGCGCCCCGCGCCCTCGACGATGAACCGACTGCCCTATGGGGGCCTCCGTGGGCCAAATTGGGGGCCCCCGATGGGCCCGAAGGGCGTGTCCCTGGGAGCCTCTGTGAGCTAGGCATTCCCCTCCCTTCCGTGATCCTCGTATCCTCCCTCCTTTGTACTGCCTCCCCCTCTCCTTCATTGGTGTCCTCATCGCCCCTCCCCCTGTCCGTCCTTCGCCCCCTCTCCTCCGCCCCCTCTCGCTCTCCTCCCGCCCCCCTCAGCCCGTCGCCCCGCACCAACTGCGCGTGAGGAAACTGGCCTAGGACAAACGCGTCGAGGGAAAATGGGGCCCCATGGTCTGGGGGGCCCAGGGGCGCCGATCTTCGGCGGGGGGTGTGGTTGTGCGGTGGTGATGCAGAGGACGCGGGCCGTTTGAGAAGGCTCGGAAGGCCTGTGCTTGCTGCCTTCTGAAAACATGTCTAAGCGGCTTCCGAAACCAGAAACGACTTGTCAGAAGGCTGGAGGAATTCTGAGACTCCCGCCACCATCTGAAGAAGGCTGCCACCTCTGACTTCCTCCCTAAGGCTCGCGGCCAATAGATATCCGATCAACAGCTGCCGGTGTCTTCGATGCTGGGGAACCCGTTTGGGATGCCCGCGAGCCCGAATTTGGTTCCTGGAGGCCGTTTTCGCGGCCTGGAGTCGTCTCGAGACTGCTCGGGGTGAACACTCGGCCCGATGGGATGGGTCGAGAGGGCCAGGAACCAGGGAATCGGAAATGTCGAGTCGTCGGAAGTCTGGCCTCGTCCCTGCGCAACAAACATGCATCACAGTCGGAGTTCGTGAGTAAGCGTGTGTTGCAGACCTCTTGCTTCATGTTTGAAGGGGCCCCAGGACACAAATAACTACACACAAATAAACATAGTCCCCATATTTTCGCATATTTTCTGGATTTCTGTCTTCCCCCCCACTTCCCAGAATTTCCCATATGTTCTGGGGAATCGAGGATTAATTGTGTCTGTGTTTTTTCCTCTCCTGAATGTTTTTCAGCATCCACGGCCGACGACTTCCAGGCTGCTCTCCAGAGCGAAGTCTGAGGATACATTCCCCGAGGTCGCACCAGTGTGCAGGCCCCAATTGGGCTCTTCGCCTTCCTCTCCTCCCCCTACGCGGTCTCTTCGTGTTGTGGGGGCATCAGCCGCAGCCGCATGTGGTCGCGCAGCCAGCTCAGAAGTGTTCTGCACACCTGCGTGGACGAACGCGCTGGAAAATACTGCTGTTGTCCTGGGTCAAGGGCGAGCCGACTTGAACAGGAATACGGGCGAGATGATTCGCAACAAAACAACCCCCAACCCTTTTGTGAGGAAGCCTGAACGAGGAGTCAAACAACATTAGGGATAGTGGGGTATGTTGTGCGGATGTATCAAACCAAACCGCCAAGACTTCTGTCCAAAATGCAGAGAGGAGAAGCTCAGTGAGGTCACGTCTTGAGTCTGTTACACGGGTCAGGGGTTCTGTCGTCCTCGATGGCGAGGGGCAAGAGGATACGAAGAGGCACGCACACACCCACGCGCACTCTTTGTTCCTTCGCCGGCACAGAGACATGGATGCCACGAGAACACCAGCACAAAGGCGAATAGCACCCGGATGCGAAGTAAAAGGCACGCCGGGTTCAGAGATGGCCGCGAGTCGGAGGGGACGCGTCGTGCCGCCCCGATGGACAGGCGACAAGGGACCCCGAAACCGCGGGCCGCAAGCACAGGCCCTACGCATGGGGTCCGCGCGTGCAGCCCAGCCGTTCAGGCCCGAGGGCCAGGCGACCGCGGCGCCCACGGAGGACGGGCGGGGGCCTCCGCGGGGCCCCCGCAACCAGACGCCGAGGCGGATCCAGCGGGGCGGGGAGGGCTGTTGGGCCGACTTGGCCCGCCTTCCCCGCCCACGCCACGCGCCGCGCCCGCGCGGCAGGCCGCGAGGAGGTGCGCGACCTTGTCGCCGAGGTCGCCGCGCCCCCAGCGGCCGCCGCCGCCGCCGCCACCGCCGCGCTCCTCGCCGCCGCCGCAGGCCACGGTGGCCGCGGCGACGGCCCCTGGGGGCGCCGCACTGGCGGACCTTCTCTCACTCACCTCCTCCTCCTCCTCCTCACGCGGCCTGGCACCAGCCAGGCCGCCTCCGTCGCCACATCTGCCCTGTGCTCCGCCTGGTCGGCGCTCGGGTGAGCTCCTCCTCCGTCGTGGGGATGGTGGGGGTGGCGAGCTAGGGCGGACCGCGGGGGAGCGGGTGGTGGCCGTCCCCCCCCCCCTTCTGTGCCCCTCACCATCCCCCGTGGCGGGCGCGGGCAACACTCGTCCTGCCCCCCCGACCTTCGAGCCCGTCTCGAAGTTTGATCCTTGCCTCTCCAGGGCGTCCGCGACTGGGTCTGTTGGTTCGTGCTGGGTTGGGTGAGCGGGGTGGTCCAGGAGCCGCCGCACCGTGACCGCCACCGCGCCCGCGTCGGAGGGCGGTGACCTGCACTCCTGGCTGAAACTGCTAGCCCGCGCGGTTCCCGTGAACCCGCACCTGACGCAGACGACGAGCGGGAGGTGGCGTTCAGGCAGGCTGCTGATAATCCCGGTGTGGACGCGGCAAAGATCTGGACCCCTGGTCAGGCAAGTGGTAATGGGGGGACCTAGATGGGGAGTGAAGGAAAGACCACTTTCGGACCCTGTCCTCCCGAATGTAGGCCACCCCCATTGCCACCCGCCCGACCTTCATGGGGTCTGGTATTACAGCATGGCCAATGTTTGACGGTCCCGATGCCCGGCGACGGGAAGCCCAAAGCGTGCAAAAACCACACGCCATGATTGTTTCATAACCGAGAAGGTTCAGATTTCGGGCCGCAACTCAGCCCCGCGGTGGCCGTTCGATACTATCTGGGGACCCTCGGAACACTCTCGGCGAGGCGCAGCCGCTGGAAAAAAACTCAATGACGGGAAAGCCGCTAAGAGCCAAGACGCATTTAGGACAACTCCCGAACCCCATCCAAGAAGAGAAAGAGAGAGGAGGAGAAGGAGAAGGACACGCCCGTCAGAGGCGGCGGAGTGCCCTGGCTACCACGACAGCGCAAGGCTGCACAACGAATAACCTGCGAAGTTCCAAGTCATTGTTGGGGTACCGCGCCCCCGTCATTGATAACGCGAAGGGAGGGGGAGGGGGAGGGAGAGACCTTGTCTGCGTCCGCACGAGTGGTCTGCGGGCGGAAATGAGACAGCCAGTCGAAAAGAAACGGATGGGGATAATATGTTCTATTGCGCAACAGGGCACGCTCAGCTCTTTATGTTGAAATCGGGGATTTCCAAATTGGGGGGCTCGCGGGATCTGGTTCATGAGCGCTTGTTCCGCATAGATATGGTGACGCTTTGCTGCCACCAGGGTGTCGCAGCGTGCGTGATCTGGCATTCGTCCGAGTCGACGAAAGATGACAGTCGCTCCACGGCCTGATGGAATGCTCGAGAGGTCGTGACAGCACGGAACATGGCGGCACGTGCGGCAACGTCAAATTCTCTTGCTCCAGGTTTATAGCCGAGGGTCTTCAGGTTACGAATAAGATCGGAAGGGGATGGCATTGCGGGACCCATTGGAGAGGATATGGGGGACTTCTCCTCGGCAGCAAGAGCAAAGGCGGATGGGAAGTAGAAGTAGAACTGGGAGACATGGGGAAGAACGGTGATGGCATACATATTGCCTCGAGCAATAGATTGAGAAGACCCAGCCAGAGCCCTTGGATACCACGACTCCGCTCGAGACATGTGGCGGCGGGCGCGACCCGACTCTCCTGAGGCCCCCCAGGTCCGACAACGATGCCCAAATACTTGGCGGCATGCTGAAAAACGAACCCGCCCTGCGGGATGCCATATGCCGAAGACGAAGAGAAAACTCGTCATTCGTCACCGGGTGAACCAAGACCATGTTGGTTTTGGCGGCGTTCAAGTGCAATCCAGCAGCAGTGGCGGCCAACTCCCACGCGGGCAGGACGAACGAGGGTGGCAAAGGTGTCGGAGCTGGCTACCCCTGCGTCGTCTGCGAGCACGCCCAACCCTCCTAACTGTGGCGGCAAAATGAACTGCATATCTCAAGAATGGGTCGAACCCGAGACAAAAGAGCGACCCCGACAAAGGACAGCTT